GTCTTTTGAAGAGTTTCGTAACGTAAAAAATAAATCTTTATTTAACGAAAATTTTCCATTTTTTTTTAATTAATATCTAAGTAATAAGAATTAATTGTTGAATACAGAAAATAACTAACACAAATAACAAATGTTTAAATGTTTTTGTACTCACCAAACATACACAAAAAATTTATATAGAATAATATATCCATAACTAAACACTAATAAACTATGAACTGCATTAGATAACTACTTATGAATTATAAAAGTTGTAAAAAGGAAAACAAAAATAACACTATAAAAAACGTAAAAAACTAAAACGAAACGATTAAATGTATAAAAAAATTTCTGAATCGCTCGCTATGCTCTCTTCAACAGGACTCTCCCAACTAAATGCAGAAAGAACGTCGAACGTTAGTTAGAGACTTATCTGGAGCATAGCATAAACAAATCGCGTCTCGATAATCTAAACAGTTCATTGGGAGGCTCTCTTAACGCCTTGCAGTTTGCAGTGTGTGGATGGTAGATATATTTACACAAAGAGACAAAGAAACTCTCAGAGGAGTTATATTTATTATAGCTCATTGTACTTTCACAATAAATTAATAGACATATGTATTTTTATTACAAAAATTAAATACGTACCACACTTATTCTATTCACATTTCGATATAATTGCATAATGTTCGTGCTTACATACGTGACACTTAATTCTTATGTCTGGTGACGCGCCTCACGATGGCTTTGAATAATGATAACGTAAAAAGATGGACGAAGATGGACATGATTCTTGTGCCAAAAGGTACACGTTACGAAATGTAAGAAAATTTGATAATGTTCTTCATTTCATTTGATATTAATTTTTAACACATTATGAACAACAAACTCCAATTGATGGTCTTAATTGTTAATAGGAAGAGCTAGTGTCGTAGTCCCGGAGGGTTACAGAAAATGTACTACTTTCCGATTAAAAATATCTTTATTCGTACACTCAAGGACCAGCGTTACCACGGAGCGAGCAGGGATTTAATTAGTACACGCTGTTTTGCGAATCGTTTCTCGAGTATATTCCACGCTACCTGGAAATAGTCATCACCGAGGTTCGAGATAGTTCGTAGCGCGTTTCCTTCCAGCGACGAATGCAAGTATTGCAAGCGCTGGGCATCGGTCAACTTCCTATGTTTGGTGACCAGCGATGTAAAAAGATCCCGGAAGTTTAGCCACTTCGTCGGATCACCGTTGAAACGGGGGATCTTTATTTCTGGCAACCGTTGAGCTTGTTCCACGACGGTTACCGGGGCAGAGAGTGGAGGCGTAGCAGTCTTTTGCTCGATCGATGGAGCCGGTATCAATTCCGTTAGCTCATGACATAGGAATCCTCTCGTTTCGACTTCTCGCTCGACTTCCTCGAGCTGATCCATGTACTGCCGTTTGAAATAATCGTAACGATCACGTTGCGACAAGCCGACAATGCTAATTATTTTTTTATGTCGATCCAATGCCTCTTTCCACTGTTCTTTCACTTCCTCGAGTTTCGACTGAAGTTTAGCCACTGTGAAACTCGCTCTGCCTTTCTTCTTCACATTTACAACCGCGTTAATGATGCTACGGCATCGGCGTTTGTGTTCTTCGATGTACACATCGAGTTTGACACCTTCTACCCAGATTTCCTCGGGTTCGCCTTGATCCGTCATTGTCACACAGTTATTTTCTCACAATCACGAACAATTTCATCGAACTGTCGTATTGGCACGTCCGTAATACACTCGATATCCGGCTCGAAGGACCTTTTGTTAGGGGATAGGTGGCCCCTAACGGGTCCG